TAATTACATTTTTTGTTTGATTTTAAGATTATGAATTTTTGGACCAAACATTAATACGATTTGCATGGATTTCGACCAAAAATTGAACAAAAACTATATCCACGATAGTCTGTAAACGGACAGTACAAATTGAATATGCCTGACCGGATTCAGTTATCTGTCCGAATAAGGCCACACATCCACGTCGCTCATTTTAAGGGTTATTCTGGCTTGTGTTCATTGGTGAAAAAAGCTTTTATTGATTTATAGTTTATCGTTTCCAAGTGGAAACAAATAAAGAAGCGAATTGGCGGAAATAAAATTTATCTTCATGTAATGCCAGTCCGAAATGTCTTTCGACATCGTAATAGGAGGTTGACCGTCGATATAAACAATAGGAAACGATTTATCTACATTTCCGGTGCCGCTTTACGGTTTTATATTTCCGTATTGTCCTTCGAGATCTGGTCGTTAAAAGTAAAATTTTGAAATTTAAGAGACCGATGATAACAATGGGGCAATGAAAGCTCTCCCCAACAAAGATTAATGAATTCTATACTGTGCATGTCAATAACAAACATTTCAGGTGTTTCTGTGAATGACCCAGGAAATGACGGGTGTTGAATAAAAGGGATTTCTTGCACTTCTATTGTTTTTATTGGTTATTGTCACATCGTTTGAAATCGAACTGCTGTCAGTTAGTAGCTCTGGCGGACGAGGAAATTCAAGGATGTTCCGGAAATACGCAAATGAAAAACTTCGCAGTCCTGACCTTGGTGATTTTGCAATTTGACCCGAATAGACCTGTCTGCACATAACTGTTTTTTGATTAACACTGGTATTAAGTTGCGTTTAGATTGAGATGGATAGTTTTGGTTAATTTCTTCAGTGTCTTCAGTTTTTTTGGGTAAAATGATGATAAACTTTTATTTCTTGCTGGGACCACTACACAATTAATTTCATGAAGAGTATTTTGTTAACTGAAAATGTGTAAAATTTCCAAGTTTAATTTTTTTCCTGTGGTTGGGCAACAGCACATATCCAAACTAACTTAAAAATAACTGCCCGGCTTTTATGCTAAAGTTGTCTGGTTAATTAATGAATCTACACAACCTCAACCAATTTTCGTTTCAAACTCTTACGAATCAACGAACGTTGTAGAAAAACTGCGCCATATTGGAATAATCTTTTATGAAATTTAAAAGAAGCAACACGAAAGTTTGAAAACCGTTCGAATTGTTTAAGGTTAACTAAAAGGGGAGCCGAGTTAGAACAAGTTGAAAAATACAATTAGTATTGGGAAAGTATCCCAACAATTAATAATTTAATATGAATAATTTTCAAATATACGTGTTTCTAAATATAATTCTAAAAATAGATTATCGTCTCGCAATTCTGGGTACACCATATGCTCTTGGCCGAGACCGATCCTTCTCCCTGGCTCTGGCGGTGACAAGCGTGTCATTATAACTAACGTCAAAAAACCACTTCACTTCTCTGTTTCCTCTCTGTCACGGGGTCCACGCCACCTGCAAATAAATAACACAAATTCCATCGTTTCTTTGATAACTGTACAATTTCGCGGGAATTAAATAATTTTTGTTTTTTTGTGCTATGTGTAACCCACGATTGTGTGGTTAAACGTGTATATGGAGTCGTTAGAATGTGGGTGTAGAATGGAATTTCCACTTCTATATCCCTAAATCAGTATCAAATTTCGAAATAAAGTTTTTAGGACAGTAATTCCTACATTATATAAGAATTGTGCCGTTAATGAAAAACGAAACGTTGTTGAGGCCATTTGATACTGGAAACCTGATCGCAGATTGGTTCACAATATCTCATATATCACAATATTATGTCAATGTGGTTACTTATGTAATGAGTTTTACAAAGCAGATAGACCGCGACATAATCCCCACTTCCCTGAAAAGGGTATGGCGAATAAGAGTAGTTTTTAGAGAATTGCTTATCTTTCAATTGGTCGCTGTATGCAACTATAGGTTCAGAATTTTGTATTAAGAGAAAACATAGGACAACAGTTTTTGACAATAATTATGAGTTATCTCTTTTAATAATTATGAACAAACAGTTTTTTTTTAAATAGTTACGATGTGATAAAGACATTTCATACTTTGTTTTCATTACAATTATTCCAGTAAGGGATGGATTTGTATAATGTATAATACAACCACCAGGTTAGAATTTTGCACTTGATGCAAACCTTGGAAGTCGCTATTAAATCCCCTGAGCATAGTGGCGTCGGTACCAGCTCCAGTCTGGTTTAAATTAGAAAAAAAATACTTTCTTTCGAAACTGCTTAAAATAGACTTGCATATGCATATGGCCGTACGAAAAATTTAGAGGTCCTTTATTTAGTAGATTTTCTGACAGGTCAAACTGAAACTTTAAGACTATTAAGGTATTTTTGATATATATTATTCTTCATTTCATCGTGGAAAAACTTAGCCCAACTCAGCGTATATAAATTATATAAATTATTCCTTGGTTTTACCACAATCAGAATTCTGCAATTCTGTTATACGTTCCTAGCCTGTCGAGAAAACTATTCACTTAGAAAATTTTAAATTCACCTTCGTACTGAAGAAATTAGATTAGAGCAGCAGCAAATGTAAGATGCATTTCATTATGGAATATATCTAATAATATACTATAAATTTGAATTTTTGCTTTTTTTCTTTTTAATCTGTGCAAACTTAAATGCATTGCTCATTATAATTAAGGTCGGAAATCTTATTCTGTAGATTCCCAAAGATGAACTTGATGAATGGGAGATTAAATTTTGCTGAATGCTTGGGTTGGGTATTATAACCAATCAATTATTAACCAAAACTGATCTTAAATAAAGGTGAAACGGTTCAGCGAGTCTTTTTTCGTCTTCGCTGTTCAGTATACTTTCGACGTCCATTTTCTTCAGGTTTTGCTTTGAGCAAAGCAACAATAAGTAGGTTTTGTGCAACGTTATGCCGTTCCTAAATCACCAAACTATCAATCAGAATGTTGCATCCTCCTGTCGAGCGTAACGATACATCGCGTTGTTGACAGGAGCTAAATTAATCCCGATATTGATGAAAGCAGTGGGGCAGTCGTACAGCTCCGCTCATAGGAGATTGAATTATCATTTTATATTACATATATTACTATTTTTAAATAAATATTTTACTGTAAACTGGTTACTGAACTATGATGCTTATTTTGACTGAAATCAACCCTAACCAAAATTAACATATATCATTGTTCTGCTACTAATCCTTTTTTTACATATTTGCATAAGTGCAAAATAAGCCTAATATCATAAAATATGAACGCTATGCATATATTGCCACTAGACCCGATTTAGTATGAGTAATTACTACTACTAGAGACTACTATATATTTACTACTATATATTTAGTTCCGCCACTCATCCACAGATGGAAGCGCGGTTTCAATTTTATAGTATATGGCATATTGAAATTTTTTGTGGGTTTTAGTCAATTTATTTTGACTGGCTTTAACTCAATTTGGGGAACAGCTTATACAACTATATATAGGGCGTTTATCAGAAATTCGGGCATATTGGCTGTCAAATTTACTTCTCATGGGTGACGGGAAATGTTTATATTATAGCAGAAACAGTACTTTCTAGAATATACTCTCACAAAGTAGTAAAACTGCGTTACGTATTTTACCTATGATTCGGGATGAGTTGTGCGTTCAAATATCTCAAATCTACCCATCAGATAATAGAAAATAAGACTAGTTTGTGTATTAAACAATTAACCAAATATTCAAAATCGGCCGTAATACGAAATCGTGACGAAAGGCTACTTATCTTATTTTTGGTGGTAATTACATCATTTTGGCTAAACTAAGAAAGAATATATTATGCAACAAGTGCGGTAAACAGCATTTAAAAAGTTTACCAGAAGTGTTGCATACTATACCTTTTCTACTACCGTTAGTTTATGGGTATATTTTTTTAAAAAGCAACAAGAATACACGTGGGAAAGTGACGCTTTCCGTGTATGATTAGGTATTTTACAGAAAAGAGTATAAAATAGAAAAAACTTTTTTTTTCGGTTTTCACTTGATTTTTCGACTTGAAGAAATTTTTTTTTGGGAAATACGCGTGTATAGCTTTTGTAGAGCATAAAATTTGCTACAAAAAGTTCCTATGCGTACATTCTCCCCGACCAACAGCTTTTAAGTTATAGAGCTGTGAAAATAAATGTTCATTATAATCGATATCAAATCATTTCTAAATTAGGATTTATTATTTTTATATTAAATAGCAATTAATTTTAAACAAAAGAACGCTTTATTTGAGTTATTATATGATTCAAGTTTCTAATTTCCAAAATTATTTTGGAATCGAATAGAGAAAATTAAAAGTCAATTATTAAAAGAAATTATAAGTAATAATTAATTATAGACATTTAGACATGCTTGTAATCCATTGACCACTCTAAAATTTAGTGAACGAATATAAATTTTAATTAATAAATAATGATATATGGAAGTGTAATTTTTTATGTTATTTTGGAGTTTCTGTTGAGTCAACAGAAACTTTTTGCATCAAATTTTATGCTCTACAAAAGCTATACACGCGTTTTTCCCAAAAAAAATTTCTTCACGTCGAAAAATCAATTGAAAACCGAAAAATTTTTTTTTCTGTGTTATTTAAATAGGAAAATGAATTATTAAATGAGCTAAGCCGCTATTGCACTTAAAGCCTTTTACCCGGCGGCATAATTTTTTATTTTCTATAAAGTATCAGATCACCCTAATGTAGAAAATGTGTTTATTTCCTTTTTTTTTCTATATACTCGTCATTTTTCAAATTTTCGCTACACGTAGAAACAAAAGCTGTACACTGTACAAGCTGGATTTTCGTCGTTTATTACCTTTAAAGGCTTTAGTTTCGAAGGGTACATAAAGAAGATACGTAATGAAAAAACTGAGTCAAGAAAAACCTGTCTCGACCCACACGTTTTTCATCGAAATGATTTCGGTTTCAGACTAACATGCAGTACGAGGTATCGCAGCTGATTGTGAAGATTTTCTTCATTTTGACGGTCTTTTCTCTGGTAGCGGCCAACGCCAGACCTCCACATTTTGGTGACACTAATCAGGTAGAAGCCAATTCTTACTTTCTTAGTTCACACACTTTTTAATGTAGAAGATTTTTTTATTAAAAAAAAATAGGCCATAACGAATGTGCATAGATACCAATGGACGTGCCTGAGAAGGAAAGGGGCAATATAATCTGATTTTTTATTATTCCTGTCTTTATTTGTAATATTTCCATTAAAGTCTATGTTTTTTTTTAATTTTGTTTAGAGCCTGTGATATAATTAATAATACAATATATTATCAGGCGATTTCGCAAGATGCGGGACAAGAAGCGGTGTCCAATTTGGTTGATCCCGGCCTTAAACCCTGGCAGATGGACCTCCTCGTTCAACGAATGGGAGAACTGAATCAGCTGAGTAACCAGCTAAATGGACAGGACTTTAACTTCGATAGAACTCTGAGGAGCGGCAACGAAATCAAGCGCCAAAGCCGATACCGTCTCTGCTACTTCAATCCTGTCAGTTGCTTCAAAAAGTAGATCTGGCTCTCTATAGAATTTTCGATCTTTATTTTAATTCTCTGTTTGAGCTGTGTATCTCCACTTGTCTTTTAGTCGACGCGTCTGCCAAAATGCATAGACATACATTAGTGCGACATACACATTTAAAATGTAACATTCTTTTTCGGTGTATGCAGCTGAAAATTATATATTCAAAAAATTCAAATCTTAAATTTATTGATGTTCAAATACTAGTAGATATTTATCGCTGTGTTTTAATATCCAGAAGTAGAAAGCAAAGTTTCAAGAAAGTGAGAGAAATTTCGCCTGACGATTTTTGAATCTTTGCGTTTTACTGTTTGGTCAGATAATATATCTATGTTTCAAGATCGTGACATTGATAGATGAATAAAATATAAATTTAAGAAAAGAAAGTGTAGTTATTTCAGTGCACTGTGTTTATCCACCGGTCATAAAATTGATTCTCACTATTTCAGTCTTAGTAAAAGTTGAGCCGTTTTGAAATCGAGAAAATTACAATTTTCCAGGAATGGCAATTTGTAATTGCAATTTTGGAGAGATCCTGGTCAGTATATTTATTTATTACCCTGCTTATCTAAAATTTAGAAATTATGTGGAAGAAAATGAAATATAATGAAAGATGAAAATAAACTGAAAAAAAGCCTTTCGAAAAAGTAAAAATTAATTATTTTATTACCGTTTAACCGACTTTGTACCTCTTACTGCTAGTGAGATCAGCAGATTTTAGAGAGTAAACGAAAAATACTCAAATTTTTCACTACCTTTGCTTCCTACCAACGTTCGGTTCAATCGACGTATATTCAAAGTTGGTGGACCAGTTAATTTCGAACTGCTTTGATAATTTTTTTTTAAAACTTGTTATTCTAGTTCTTCCAACACTTATTAAACTGGCAGCGATACTTAATTATTAAAAAATTTGCAGCAAAGTAAAGAATATATTCTTGTTCAAACTTATAATGTGTCTTGATTCCTCTTACATGATTTTTGGATGTTTTTTGAAGTGTATATTGCTGAAAGCTTCTGCAAATCGTTTTATTTACATAATAACAAAATAGCACCCCCGCTTCCTGAAAACAATTGATCTGCACGTTTACCTCAGAAGTCCAAGGTGAGGAAAATTTTGCGAATTTCACCATAGGACGTCGTATTTCAAGAAAAACTTCTTAAATTTACAACAATGCTTATAATTGCCGGTGTCCGTAAAAATAAGGTAAATGCAGGTTACTCAATTCTTGCGATAGGCACTTATTCCTTTTCTCAAGACATGCGGCGGTTCACGCACAACAATTCTAACGCAGAATATATATTAAAAAATAGCACCTCCCTCCTTTGACATTTCCAATCTCCAAGTTAATGTTAATTTTTTTAAACCTTTCCACGTAACGCCGGTTTTAAACTTCAAACAACTAGAAATGTATGGAATTAGTATATTATGCAACAAGTGTGGTAAACTTGTCAAATTTGAACAAACGTGTTGCATACTATACTGTACATTCTGCAACCGTTTGTTTTTGCGTATATTTTTGCAAAACAAAAAACAAGAAACTCACGTTGAAGGTAGTGGAAATAGTATATTATGCAACAAGTGCGGTAAACGGTATTTGATTCACGTGTTTATTTGACACGAGCGGAGCGAGTGTTTAATAAACGAGTGACTTAAAAAGTTTACCGAACCTGTTGCATACTATACTTTCTCTACGACCGTTAGTTTATGAGTACATTTTCGCGAAACATCACAAATACATCCGTGCGGTAATATCTCCGAAAACATCCGATTGCTCCAAAAACCCGTGGGAAACGAAACGGATGTGGTAAAGTGACGCTTCTCGCACACTAGATCGGTATGTAATTTTATGATTTTTTTATGAATTCCGTTAGCTCTAATTTCAATCGAGGGGCAATTATAAAGATTGACATATGACAGTTAATTATATGATAAGATTGATTATATGACAGTTAGTTCAAATAGTTGGTATAAGAGTCTGTAGAACTAACTCAAATGCACAAATCACATTATAAAAATCAACTCAAAGGAATAAGAGGTATGGTTAATAAAATGTCATTTTTGGCTGAATGAATTTAATTTCTCGGTAGAGAGAATTTTTCTATTTCAGTTATGAAAGTTATTTAACTGACGAACAAATGGGTATTGCCAACCAATGAAATCATATTGATTAATACTCTCTAAATAATATACCTACTCCGTTTTTCATATTCATTCTCTCAATGCACTTTCACTTTTAACTTGGTTTTTTTATCAGTTTTTTATTAGTGTTAGACTTCATTTTGACTGCAAATTGCCTAAATCCAATTTTTGTTGTCAACTAGTATTTGTAATTGGTGCCTAGTGGCGCACAGTTGATTAAGAGATGACTAGCACCTTTCTTCTTCACTACACACCAAATGTTGTCGTCGACCAATGTTATTATATGGAGGATGGCTCATTGTACCACAATAATGTTTTTCCATATTAAAAAAACAATTTTTTTTATCCAGATTTATAACATTTCAACTCAAAAATTTGATGCTAGATAAAATACGGTGTGTACTCTTTTTGTCTTTAACCCCTCACCTGACACCAACCGTATTTTTTCTATGGCTGCGAACCAATGTCCAAAATAAAAATCGGAAAACCAAGACGAACGTTAGTGCATAAATTATCTAATTTACAGGAATATAAAAAAGTAAAAAGTAAAACTTCCGAATTCATGAAGGATGGAGATTGCAATTAATATGTTGCCTGTCAGATGCAGTATCCTAGAAAACATGTTTTTCATTGATAAGGCGAAAATTAATTCCCAACGTAGCATGGTGCGCCATCTGTCCAGAAGTAGGTCACCTACCACAGCAACGTCAAAGTACAGAGAAAATCGATTAAAAGTGGGAATTCTAGACGGGTTGAGTTTTTACTTTCTACGCTAGGGGATAGTGATGGTTTCTAACTCTTGATAAACTAATTAGAAATGATTCAAAGAAGTTAAATCATATGCAGATATAAAATTTTTACGAACCTTCCCCAATCACATATAATGTAGATATTATTAGTATAATACAAACTCTACAAGTAAATCGAGTTTATCTGAATCCTCTCTCTCAAATTGGAATCGACATTAATATTCCTGAAACGTACGATTCCGTAGATCTATGAAATTTGAATGACGTTTTTATTATGCGAACGTTGTCAAAGTGGAACATGTTCGGGATATTTTAAGTGTTCCTTAAGCTTTTCGCATTCTGCAGAGTATATGTTCTTGTTCAGCGTTATAGGAAGTGAGATCAATTCTAAAGTTGCGCTCTTGCAATAAGCCCAAAAGTAAATTTGCAAAATCGTTCATCCGATTGGCAAAATTCTTTAACCGGCAGACGCAGAAGATTCAGTGCAATAACATTTATTTCGGGCATTTTTTCGATTATATGCAGGGTTTTCAAATAGACTAAATTATTAGCCGCAAATCAAACATCGTAAAAAATATGGCTGATTGATTCAAACGGTGTCATAGGCAGCATCAAGAGCTACAATATTTGTATTTGCGGTTTTCGTCTGTCACATACGCTGCTCTGGATATTTGAAAAAATCCATATTGAAATCGTTATTTCGGGAGCTGTCAGGACGCGATGACGTCATTGATTATTACGGCGCGCTGTATAGTTTCAGAAAAAACTTATTTTCTCGAAAACCAAACACTATTTTCAAAAAATTCTTGAACCAGAACGCGCGGAAAATCCAGTGCTATAACTCTACTTCGAACAATGATATACAGGGTGTGTCGTTTATGGGCAAAAAAATTCCGTTTTTGTGAGTAAATTATTGGCGATAAATGAAAAACCGTTAAAGATGGGACAATTTTATTTGAACAGTATCGTTAACCGTGTCGTGAGAGAGTTTCAGGTTTCGTCAATGATACAGGGCGGGAGATAATTGAAAAAATATCATTCGACAACGCTATTATTTTTGCAAATTTTAATTTTTACCAATGTTTGCTGTAACTTCGACGAGATGTGAAGAACATTTTATACAGGGTTCATGCACAATTAAATTACATCGATTTCGCGAAAGTTCGCACGAAACCGAGAAGTTCTTTCCGTTTATAATAAAAATCTGCTACGCGCTACGAACTTGCCCCACCCAGTGACGATTTTTCGAACCCAATCTTGTTATTATTATTATTATGTAATATATTTTTTATAAAATAGGTAGGTAATAGGACATTTCAAATTTGCTTTTTATTTTTCTTCAATTTATTTGCTATCTAAAGATAGCATAACCATTTAATAATAAAATTAAAAATTGGTTAACTAATTAATATTAAGAAGTAGATGAAAACTAAACTACTTTAATAATAAAAATGCACCTTGATGTTATTTTCCTATCAAATAATTACTTAATTTGGAAAACTGTAACAATTTCCTTTTCAACAACAATTTGTTTTAAATAATATTATTTATTCTGCTTATAATACAAAATTTCTCTTATGATGTCGCAAAATCATTTTATCGAATTTTGTATTGCATTGTATGTACTATATTACTAGAGATATAATCTAATAAACGTCTTGTTTATCAAGATATTTTATTGAGTCTACTTAAGAAAATAATGTAAAATTAAATATGTGAATTTTCCTAAGACCATTGACGTTTAATGAAAATTTCGTTTGATTTAAAATGACACATGAATGAATGAATGAATGAATTTGAACTTATCAGTTATCAGATAAAGTTAATATTAATCTAAGAAGGCAATCAGAAATGAGCTAAATCTTCATAGACGTCGAAAGTTCTATATGCGCAATAAATCAAAAGTTGTAAACCGATCCAAATAATATTCGTAAAAAAATTTACGACAGTTGAAAATCGATGGGCGAGTTAATAATTTAAAGGTCTTTATGGGAATTCGGAATCGTATCCCGGCTCCTGTATTAGAATACTTAGCGCAAATTCGGGAATTTTAGGAAAGGTTAATGGTTAATAAAATATTCAGAATCTATCTATAGGGGACCATTTCGGAGGCATGTGTGAATCTCGAGCGCTGTCTGAGGAATTTTCTGAACCAGAGTGGAATGCAAATTAAGTACGTAATACCTACGGTCTCGCCAGAGACCCAGGAGAAACCTGGATTAATGAATTCGACAACATGTGGACGGTAATATTTGATTCCGTGAATACATTGAAAGTTGTTTCGTGGGCTGAATATGTACGGGAATCGAGAAATTTACTAAAGTTTGCAATTTGCACTTTAAATAATTAAATTTACGGGTATCTATAAAACAAAATGGTTTTAGATGCTTTTGCTTAAAAATTGTTTTTTTAATCATTTTATAAATTTTGCCTATTAATAAGTTTTAGGAAAACTCTAGTTCCTA